GGTTATAACAGAAAATGAACAAGCTTTAATTATGGTTATAACAATAAATGAACAAGCTTTAATTATGGCTATGACAATAAATGAACAAGCTTTAATTATGATTATAACAATAAATGAACAAGCTTTAATTATGGTTATAACAATAAATGAACAAGCTTTAATTATGGTTACAACAATAAATGAACAAGCTTTATTTATGGTTATAACAATAAATGAACAAGCTTTAATTATGGTTATAACAATAAATGAACAAGCTTTAATTATGGCTATAACAATAATTGAACAAACTTTAATTATGGCTATAACAATAAATGAACAAGCTTTAATTATGATTATATCAGTAAATGAACAAGCTTTAATTATGGTTATAACAATAAATGAGCAAGCTTTAATTATGGCTATAACAATAAATGAACACGTTTTAATTATGGTTATAACAATAAATGAACACGCTTTAATTATGGTTATAACAATAAATGAACAAGCTTTAATTATGGTTATAACAATAAATGAACAAGCTTTAATTATGGTTATAACAATAACTTCACAAGCCCATAAATTGACGAGCGCCTGATTCCACCACATCTTGACAGAAACTGGTAGAAGGAGGAAAGGAGGAAGTGTCTTGGCCTGGTGGCCGTTAGAGTAGGATCGACTGCATAATACTTTTATTATAACGTTTTTTAAAGGGGGGGGGGGGGGTTGTCTTTTGATTTTCCTTTTTTGCTGTCTTTCTTTTTTTCTTTTTCTTTTGTTTTCTGTTTTTTTTTCTAGTAAAAAGTCTGCTTCAGCCCTTCTTTCCTACAAAAAGCTAAAATAAATTGCCTGTCGTACATGACGTCACGTCTGCAGCTTTGTTGGTCTCACGGACAACGGACACCCTGGCTCCATTTTCTGCCCCCCCCCCCCCCCCCCACCTCCTTTGCCCCCTCTTCTGGGCTCCTGACTCTTTCTGCAGTCTTATTACTGCTTCTCCCTGGCTCCTTCTTACTGCTGTCTGTCAGACACACCCCTGATCTTATGGTAGGTAAGATCTGCACCTAGCCTTCTCGGACAAGGGCGAAAAAAGTTGCGCACGTTAGAGATCCTTCGATGGTCCAAAATCGATAAGAGTAGGTTTCAGCCGCCACACGGACAAAATTCAAAATTTCCTAGCAACTGAAAATGTTTGGTGTGTCCCGTGCGGTCATATGCCATTTTGCAGTTTTTGAGCGCCGTAAAACACTTAGCAAAAAAACAAAAAACAAAACAAAAATGAGACGTTAGGACTGCGTAGTGGATGAAATGAGTTCCGAGTGGATTTCTAATGTTGACATAATAATAAGTGAAGTGAGCTGACAAAATGAGTTACGCGTACTTCTCGGATTTAAGCCTTATGGAAATAAATATCATGGCTGTAGGTGACGTTTTTATAATTTATAAGTGCGAATTTAATAATAAAAAGCATGTTTTACTTAAACAATATGGCATCAATTATTAATACGTTTCTCCCTTTCTGCGCCACTTGTAATTTTCTGGGCTTCCTACACCAGGCTTCACACGACGTGAGTTGGGACGTGTCGAATTATGGTTGGACGATACTAGCTGGGAACAAGATATAAAGGGAGACTGGAAACTGTGAGCCATACTTTCTGTGGAGAGGAGACCCATACAGGTAAAAACATTAGCTAGTGGCTGTTGGTCGTTACATTTTATACTTCGTAATGTAGAAGTTTTCTTTTTAAGTTTTTGAAAGCTCTGGATTAGTGGGATATGTCTTCTTTGAGAGAAGGTGTGAGGGTGGATTCTACAAAAATAGATGAAGGAGAAGGGGGAAAATTAATAAAGAGGAGACATACAGGTACAACACATAAGCTAGTGGCTGTTGGTCGTTACCTCTTATACTTTAGATACTTTCTAATGTTCACGTTTCCCTTATCTTTTTTTCTGAAAACTGGACTGGCGGGATTTGGGAAGTGCGAAGATACGTTTACGTTATCTAATTTCGCACAATTTTGCCAATCTTGATTTTTTAAAGGTCAGTTTTGAGTGACCGTGTCTCGGGTGACTCTTATCGTAGACGAAATCTTAATGTGTCAGTTTAGGAAGAATTTTTATGTAGCTTGAAAATGGTATGCTGCATGAACAGGTAGCGGTTGGCTTTAACACAAAAATTGTGTGATTACATTTTCAAGTTTCTTTTGGACGCCACTGTACTATATAACATGTGTCCATGGGGTTAAAATCCGAGAATTAACTCATGCTGTCAGAACACCTCACTTTCATTTTGACGGTCTTTGATCTAATCTGTTTTTGCATTTATGCAAGACACTTGGGTGGTTCGCGGGTGCTCTGGTGTGGTTTGCTCCTTCTTTCCTATCCAACATCTATCGTCTTTATCTCTCCTTCGTTTTTGTGTTTGTTACTCTCTTGTAACATTTCTAATCTTTAGCACATATTATATGACCTAATAGAAATGCAAATGTCGTAAAAACTCTTATTAAAACATGATTTTTCCCTGACAGACCATAGTGGACAAAACAAGGATAGGAGAGTATCATCATGCTTCGCCTTGCTTTCCTTGCCGTTTGTATCTTTGGCCTAGCCAAAGCTTATTACCAGAACGACTGGGATCGCCCTCATCATTTCCAGTGTCCCAAAGGACAGTACGTCACTTCCGTTCACAGTATCCATGACAACGGAAAAGAAGACCGACGCTGGGAGCTTAAGTGTGGCGGTGAATGGGTGACTGAGAATTGCGTATGGAGTAGTAAGTTTTCGAGATGTTTTCATTATTACGCTCCGTGGGTTTTACGACGTGCTTCCTCGTGCGTAGTTCATGGTTATTTTACGGATTTGGAACGATAGAGGGGCGTTGCAAAATATGCAGAATAATAATGATAATAATAGATAGCATTTGTATAGCGCATATCCCCGCTCAGCAGCAGGCTCTATGCGCTTTACACTATATTATTACCCC